TATAAGCTATCAAGGCCGAACGATGACTTAATTTTTCTAATTAATTAAATAAAAAAGAAAAAATGCCACATCCAGAACAAAACAAAACCCAACCAGAGAAAGTCCTAGCTTCCCCAAGGAATTCAACGGCAGCTCTCAGGCCCTAAAATGTTATCCATCCTTATACAACAGCCCTACAAGTTCCACCTGCATTCATAGACCAGATTTCTATTTCTCTTCCTCCAAAGAGCTCACAATGGCAGGCGTGATTCTCTCTCTCTCTCTCTCTCTCTCTCTCTCCTGCTTTCCTGTAGCATCGCCAACCTGTGTTGCAAATTAGATTGAGAGACAGCCCCTGTCTCCAAGTCTCCCAACAAAATTGCACAACCTCAGAGAGCAAGTCTGGAAGATGAGTGGCTGAAGGTGGCCAGATGGGCCTGTGTTTGAAATGAGATGTGCCATTCGTAAACACAGTTCCTCTCTCTTGGGCGGGCTCTACAGCACAACCCGCTTCTAATGAGAAAATAGGCAGAAACTGTAAACTTGGACATTGCGTGAAGAAGCAGGCAGCTTCTCAAGGCTGGTGATGTCATCTGTTATTTTGTCTCCTTTCCAGAAAGCTGTGGCCGTATTTTAAGTGGAGCAGAGAAACGAGAACCAGGATATCCTTTCACAGAGTCTCAGCTCTGTGTGGAGCACCACTCGCCTTTCTGAAGAATTTTCAGGATGATGTTCTGCCTGAGGTTGAAACTGCATGAGAAATCTCGCAACTGAAACAAGTAAAACAGCCAAGCTCAGAGGAAGCGTCTTTCTTCTTTTTGTTTCTCATTCCTTTCTGCGGTCATCAACCTTTCAAAGAATGGAAACTGCTATGAGGTAAGGTTGTTCTCCCCGAATCTAGAATGGGCTTCCTCTGGTATCAAAGGTCCTGATTTCAAAGTGAGTGTGCAGGACTGCAAGCAGGAAGGAATTCTGTTCCTGGATACACAGAAATGTGATACAGCATTTCTGAATACACTACAAATCAAAGGCAAGCCCCACCCTCAATTAATTAAATCCATATCATAGCTTTAAAATGGAAAACAAAGTTTTCCTGCCAAGGAAATCAGCTGAGCAGCAAGGTTGTTTCTTTTCTTCAAAAAGATTGCCCATTAGCAGAGACTGCCACATGTCACTCTTTCACTTAAAAATGTCCTGTTTTAGATTACTATAATCGTTATGATTTTCTTCAGTTGTTGTTTTTTTTTAATCTGGTGGAAAACAGCACTTTACAAAATAAAAGAGGAATCTTTACCAAACCTTTAGAAAGAGTTCTGTCCCATCCTTGTTGGAATAAATAGTTAATTGTGACTTCTGTTTATTGAGCATCAGAGGAAAAGTGGCATTTGGCTAGAAACGATTCTGGTTTATTATTTTCGTGGCAGTTAATGTTAATTTAAACTGTGTCTCACTGAGCTTCTAAGGTCTACCAGATTTGGGGTGCAAAAATGCAGAAGGAAATATTAGACAGCAGTAGAAAGAAAGAAATTATACTAATTCTCTTCTCCCTGTTTAGTGGCTCTGGATTTTTGTAGTCCAGATGTGGTAGCCCTGTCCTAAAATGTCTGATTCATGCAGGGTTGATCCTTGAGGATAATGGCCATGACTAGAAGCTATCACAGTCCTTACTGCTGTGATCTTCTTAATTCAAAGGATCCAGGAACTATGCTTGGAATGGCTCCTACGGCTTGATCCTTCCTCATGCGTGCAAAATGGCACTTCGGCACACGTCCATTTCTTCTTTTGAGTTTCTTTTGCTATGTGGTGGTCAAGGAGGTCTGAAAGTACCCGGAGACACAGCCATACAGCTGTATTAGTGCTTTTCTCCTGTGAGCCAGCAGAAAACTCTGCTGGTTTGATTTGCGGCACCTTCATTGCTAATCCCCATTCAGCCTCCGTAATGAGCTGTAGAGAGTGTAGAAGGACAGAGGGAAGATCCATTTCCAAGGCAACGATCAGATAAATGTGGCTTGAGTCCAGACCAAGAAAGTGGTTAATGAAAATGCCTCAGACAGCACCCCCCTCCCCTTAATTCTCATAAAGATGAAGGAGAGAGAAAGGAAAGCACATTCAGACTTACAAGACTTTGCTACTATAGCTGTTCCAGTAAAAGTAGCTTTAGACTCACCTCTTTCTCGAGGATCTCGTCCTGCCTGCTTGCTTAGGTTGAAATCATACTGAGTTTCATGAGCCCTGAGTTTAGGTCAAGGTTCATCAAGTTCCCATAGTTTTCCTGAATCTTTGTCATTATCTGAGTCATCATCTTTTTGGAGGAAGGGGTATACGACTGTTTATTTACACACTTTTGGAAAAGATCATAACCCCACATTGCAGAAGAGAAGCTATCTCCCAGAGCGGTTGCTGATCAGGCAAGTGGGGGAAAACATCTCTACAAACAGTACAGTGAAAAACATGCCGCTACGAAAAATATAAACAAATTAAAACCATCCATAGAAATCTAAAAGTGAAAATAGCAGCTTAGAAATGTCAGAGCATTGGGCTATTTACCAGAAAAGAGATGGGAGGACCCTTCAAGGTTAAGCCAACCCCCAACTGTGGCTTCTTTGCTCTTGAAGGGTTTGAATGAATCAACAGCAACAGAAAGAGAAGGAACAGAGGTAGAAAGTTTCAAGCAATGCTGAACCTTTAGACTCACATGCACACAGCACTGAGATACGAAGGTATAAATATAGTCTGTAAACAGACCCAAATGGAAATGGGTTGACTTGGATGATCCCTGCAAATACAAAGGACCTCTGCTTCTAAAGGCATTTTTATTTATTTTTATTTATTTATACATAGACTTATCCCTGCCCATCTCCCCGCAATGGGGGACTCTGGGTGGTTTACATCAAGTTAAAACAATAAATACA